GGATGTAATAATTTCATATTTAAAGTACTTTCAGAAGTTTGTTTCCTGAATATGAGTGGACTTTTCCTTTAACAGTTTTTCTGTGTTCCCGTGTTCTCAGTATAAAAGGATAAAGCCCTTAAGACAAAGTAAACCCTCTGTGCCCCTTATGTACTATAGTGAATGACAGAGAAAAATGACATCATCATAAATATCTGATACTTCCTGTATCAAGAGACATTACAGAGTTTTTATTTTGTTCGTTCAGCTCTTCAATCAAGACTACTTTTCAGTTTTAAAATGGTTTCGATAGAATGTATTTATGTTTCATACTTTTAATATAAATTATTTTCTTTAGATTTAAAATATTTCTGTCTTTCTTTTAGGAAAACCAGAGAAGAGTGCTGCGCCTGTAATTCCTCAGCCTGTGCCGGGTGGTGTTGTCCCTGATCCATGCAAAGCCACGCTGGATGCAGTCATGTCAGGTCCTGAGACTCTGATACAATCAGCTTTATTTTTCAATTTATATAAGATAAAATCAACGTTTTCGCCTTTTTAAGAAGGTCTGTAACCCTCCAGTAATTTCTTCTCTAATTTTTGTGTGTGCATGTAGCTCCATCAAGTAAGACATATGTTTTCAGTGGACAGTATGTGTGGACGGTGTCCAGCTCTGGTCATAGCTCTCCCACTCTGATTGCTGGGCTGTGGAAGGAGCTGCCAGGAAGCATCGATGCAGCTGTTTATTCTCAGCGGAGCGGCAAATCTTACTTCCTGAAAGGTGGATTTATTATTTCATGCTAGACAAGGTTCATTTGTAATAAAGAAAATCCATCTTGTAGATTATGCAACTTTGTTTTAAACTGGATTTGAATTCATTTCAGGGGACAAAGTGTGGAGGTACACAGGTTTCAAACTTGACAGAGGCTTCCCCAAACGTTTGACCAACATCCCAGCAAATATCGACTCTGCTCTTTATCTCCCCAAGAACAAAAGGCTGATCTTTCTCAAGGTAAGAAACAGAATCACCGTTTCCATCGACTCACACTATTCTGCAACTCCTCCATCTGTAAATGAACATGTTTATCTGTGCTTAGGGTTCCGGATACTGGCCTTGGGATGAATTTGGTCGCACAGACCTTCGTTCATACCCCAAACCTATTGGGCATCTTTTTAACGGGGTACCCAGCAACACGGACGCCGCTGTGACGTGGACGGACGGCAATGTGTACGTGTTTAAAGGCAGCCAGCACTGGCGAGTCAACCTCAAGGATCAAACGGTGGAGAAGAAATATCCCCGGGACACAGCATCTCACTGGATGCAGTGTGATGATTGAACCACCGGGGGCCCTCAGCGCCTCAACGCAGACATGATCTAAACAGTTTCTGTTTAAAGCAGTGAAGAAATATCTGGGATAATTTGACTCAGTTTTTAGGGCTGATACCACAGGATCCTCCTCCTGTTAAATCCTGTTATGACTGTAAACTTATCAGACCATAGATGAGGCTGTATTACTGCAATAAAAGTTGGAATAACTCAGATTTATAGTCATTTTGTTTATATTAACTCAGTAGCAAATATCTTACACTGAAACTATTGCTATTCCTGTATTTTATTTATTCTGCGATTTATGTGAATTGTACAAGAATAAGTTACCTGGATTGGTTTTTCATACATAAATCATGACATAATTGTCAAACTGACTAAGAATAGTTATTCAGGTAAGAGAAAATCTACAATATGATCATTTAGGGTCTACATTTTAATAAACTTTATAAAGACTGTGTAACATTTTCTCTCTGATTGCCTGAGAGTGAACAGAGTTTCACTTCCCCTGTTTGGTGTCAGTTTAGATTGTTTAAATTATATTTATTCACTAAATTCAGGAATAAAAGGGGGATTTTATAGTCGGATGGATGGATGGATGGATGGATGGATGGATGGATGGATGGATGGATGGATGGACTTTATTTCTTTATTCTAATTCGCACAGACATTAAATATTTCAGTCAATAAATTTAAATTTTTTGACTTCAAAATAAAAGCCTTAAGTCTAACTCAGCACCTGAAATGCTCACAGTCTTTAATTTGATTGGAGATTTTTGAACAAATTGCCCTTTTCTTATTCACGGCAAAGAAAAATCTTCCACTTCATGAGTGTGAGTCATTCTAGCATTTACAGATGGAGGATTTTAATCTGCTTTAACATTGCAATAAAAATAAAATAAAAGTCTCATCTCCGTAGCTCTAAAGTGCAGTTAAATAAGGGGGGTGGGCGGTTTTACCGTGTGCAAATCTTTTAATTGACATTATTTCAATTTTTGAGCTAACGATGTTGAGTTCTGTTGCACAGCACAACGCGCAGTTAACATGAATATAATTATACGTAAAATATAGGAGTTTTATTATTTTTACAAGAATTTATTTCACTTTTCATTTTTCGTTAACTGTTGAAAATGCTGGGGGGAGGGGTTAGAATTGCATCCCAGTGAACCTTTAACTATTGAATATTACTTAGTAATTAAAGGAACATGACAGTATTGATATTTTGCTCCAGTACCGGATTAAACAGGTTATAAGAAACTGTTTTTGTTCTGGCACTACATATCCTTTTAACGTGCATATAGCTACATGCTTGAACAAACACTCATCTTAACACTATGGATGATATTTTCATGTGCAGCAGTTTTTATAGGTGCAACACTGAAGCCTGCATGTTTGCTCTCTATTGTGATATAACCTGTTGATTGTTTTATTACATATTTAAGTCGTTCTGACATATAAAAACAGAGCATACAGATCCACTTGGTTCAAAATTGTACACCTTATGTTTGTTCTGAATGTCCAAAGATACATATCTAGATGAAATACATGATGCAGCATTAAAACAAAACGCTAATACAGTTTTACAAGCCATGAAAATGAAAAAATACCAAGTCCAAAACTTTAAAACGCACAGATCATAAACCAAAAAAATTGGTTATAACTGACCAAGTGACCTGTGTGTCCAATACCTACCAATTTAAAATGTTATTTGGGACATCCTGTATGGAGGACCAACTCTGCCATATTTAAAAATAAATACAGAAATAAATAAATGCTCAATTAATATATAAGCATACAATTAATTGCCACCAAAAATACAATAAACAAATAAATGTAAGTAGAAATGAAATTATACAGTGAGACATAAATGTATATAACTCTTTTAATTAGCTTCTTTAATTACTTGCATTTGTAATATTTACCTTATTTATTTTTTGTCCTTTATAATCTTCAACTTTATTTTTTAATTACTTATATTTTTAAGTATTTATTTATGTTTATGTTATAATATTTGTGTCTGTTTTATTCTTCCTTTGTATTTTTTTATATGCTGCTGCAGACGGGCTGCCGTTAGCTTCGGAGCTCCGCCGGTTGCCGCAAGCCTCTCAAGTTCGGAACATTTTCTTTTAAATTACGCATTAAATCTGTGAATGGGCCATATGGTGATGCTTAAAACTATAACGTTCTCGCCTCAAATGATCTTAAAACGTACTTTTATTGAACAACAGCAACAGAGAAGAGAACATTTAACTTCGTACTCTGAGCTCTGTGAGTTAAGAAGATGGACCGCCAACCAATGAGCAGAAGTTGACTCTCTAGGACACGCCCCCTCCTCATTTGCATAATGAGGCAGAAATGCAGACAGAAATGTAAAAAGGGAAGGCAAGAAATAAACAGCAGCAAAGAAATAACTAGGGTAAAAAAATACAAAGGAAGAATAAAACAGACAAAAATATAACATGCACATAAATAAATACTTAAAATTAAGAAGCTAATTAAAAGAGTTATATACATTTATGTCTCACTGTATAATTTAATTTCTACTTACATTTATTTTTTTATTGTATTTTTGGTGGCAATTAATTGTATGCTTATTTATTTATTGAGCATTTATTTATTTCTGTATTTATTTTCAAATATGGCAGAGTTGGTCCTCCATAATCCTGAACATTCTCCAAATATAACGTGGTTTGGACCTGGATGAAAACCATGGACTGCTCTAACAACGATGAAGAAGATGTGTTGGTTTGTTTGTTTTGTGTTTCTTATTTTTCTATGTCTGCTTCTGTCTCCTTGAACCCCAGTGGGCCTCAGCAGATAGCTGCTCACACTGAGCCTGGTTCTGCTGGAGGTTTCTTCCTGTTCAAAGGGAGTTTTTCCTCTCCACTGTCGCTACAAGCATAAATAATAAACTGAATTATTTACATGAAAGAAAAAAAACATTATAAGCTGAATACAAAAGTTGTGAGAATTAAACTCTCCATGAACTATTAAGAGGATGAGGAACGATGCATCGGTTAAATAATCATCCGATAAGGCTGGCAGCTGATATTTCTGCAGCTTTTGTTGCTTCTCCAGAGATGATCCTTCAGCTGCTTGATCCTGAATGTTCAGACTGTGAAGATTGGTGAGGCAGCAGTGAGGGGCACCATGGAGCCCGTCTCAAAGTTAAAGTCAATCAAAGTGTGTGTGATTGTGCTGACGCTGCTGGTGGAGGAGCCTGTTCCCATCTGACGCTCCTGGAGTCTGTGGAGGTAACTCTGGAAGACGGAAAGCAGAGGGGATTGCTGTTAAAGCATCAAACAGCTGAAACAGAATCAGGACCTTTATGCATTTTTCCTTTTTTGGTAACTTACCGGTGCGAGGACATCTCCAGCGTATCGCTTCAAGGGGGGAGGCTTGCGCTGACGGTAGGTTTTGGGTCTTCTCCTTTCTTTACTTTTTTGCTTCCTTTCATGTTTGGTCAGTTTTTTCTGTGAATCTGGGAAGCAGAGTTGAAATAAATATTTCAGATCAA